GTTTCTGGTAGTTCCTCAATTTCATGTGCACATAAAAACAAACCAAAAGAGGAAAGCACCACTACACAATAGGTTATGTTAAACTGACATCCTGCTGCATTACCACTGCAAACCACTAGATGTCCTACTGAGACTTTAATATAATAAACAGTTACAACGTCATAAAGTGACATTTACAGCCCTGTGAAATTTGTACAGAAGATAATCCATCACAATCCCATGAAACTGTGGCTCATCATGTTTCGTGTTGTTGTTTAGTGTCTTGCTTCATGTGGTTAGCCAGAAAGTATTTATTGTGTTTATTTTCCAGTGTTAACAGTTACGGTTATCCTGTTATCCTCCTTTAGTAGCCTCTTAGAAGAGTTCATTGCGTCAGAATGAGTGAGGGAAAAAAAGCATTCAAGGCCTTTGTTTTTACAGCTGACTCAGGCCTGTTGTCCATCAGCACTCCGATGGACAGCAGAGGCTATATGGTGTTAGAGGCACAGGAGAAAGAGCACGATGAGACTCACTGTGACTCTACAGTGGCCCTTGGGGGCTCACCAAAGGCACACCTGGACTGACCGGCGGCGTGCTAGAAACAGGTGGGAGGTACTGCCTAATCAGTTACATTTGAGGACTGACCAAAGGGAACCTGACCGAGCTTTGGTCAATCAGATGGACGCTAGAGGTTACTTGAGCTTAGTCACTTGGGAAAATCAAAAGGGCACTCTGGGAGCGCTTGTGCTAACCAAATGGGCTCTTGGATTGATCAGAGGGGCACTTGGGGGATATTTACACTGACCAGAGAGTAATTGAGCAGCCCAAATAGGCACTTGGGTGGCTTACCAGAGGGAACTCAGACTAGAGAGGTAAGTTGATGACGAGTGGGGAGCACTTGGACCAACCAGAGGAGGGGGATATTTGGGGCTGATGCATTTGGGCCACTCAGTCTCCCCGTCTGCGCTGGTACGCCTCCACCCCTCTTTCCCACCTCCCCCGTTGCAGGTTGTTTTGAGTTTTTATGTTGTAAAGTGTGCTCATGTGTGCTTATGTTGCTGAGGTTTTTTTTCCCAGTCCCACACTGTACTCCCCCACAGGAGCAGAGTCTGGGAGCTGCTTTTTTTCTCCTCCCCTCTCTTCTTGTTTTAGATTAGAAATATCTTGAGATACACTGAAGTGAGTTAATATAAATCAAAACTGTTGAATAGTGGCGACCCTAAAAAGGAGGGAGGATGGCTTTAAAGTTCCTACAATATATTTTTTGTTTTGAGCATCACAAATGAAATGAAACAAACTAAAATTACAAAAGGTGAACAGACCCTTTATTATTCCCTATGCATAAAACTGTATTTTTCAATTGAAAATGTAGGTGCAGTATCCATAATTTACATGTTACATATTTCCATGATAATGTTCCAGATGATGGGTGATCGGTATTGTGAGTATTGATATGATAAGCTACTTTATAACTTCTCTGAAAAAGACATAAAAACATCAAAAGACACTACAGGATCACACCGAGCACTGTTAAATTTGAACTTTTGTGGAGAACTGTGTTTTAACATGCATTTATACGTTCTAAGTTGGTTTCTTTGGGAAAATGCTTGTCCTTAATTCGTATTCCCAGTAATTCCAAGTTGATATCAGTGTGTCTTTACTGTAAATGTTATACACCCACAAGTCTACATGACATCTTCCCAAGCCATTGCCTTTTGCCATTTATGTCCTTATTTGTAGAATCTTGTCTTGGGATCGTACCAAAAAACACAATGAATCTACTATTGCCATGTTGCTCTTAGATAAATAAAAAAAACAGTCTCTATTGTTTTAGATAAATGTATTCATTAAAGTCCTGATCAGCAAGCAAAACTCTACACAATAGTAGGTTATTGTTAGATAACCCCTTCCCCACTATGAGATGCGTCCTTGTAGCTCTTCTGGTAAAGTGTTAACCCCTATGTACTAACGCTAGTGGCTGACTCAGGTTTCCTGCATTTCAGATTAAAAGATCTCTAGCGTTTCTATGCAAAAAAAATCCATTAATTTGTTAACAAGGCTTTTGTTGTATCTATCAAAGGCAAACTCAGTGTTGGAAGATAAAGCTGGCAGCAGCAGAAACTGTCTTTGTCTCGATCCCAGGGCTAACGCAAGCTGTGTTTCCCAAAGGGTCAGGAGTTTATCACCAGACACTGAACCTCCTCACACATCAGAGAGGGTTTTGGTATTTGGGTTGTGAAATGGATGACTTATTCATGATTCAGCATGTTACACATACATAGCCTACAAGCCTCGCAAAGTTTCCCAAAGTAAGGCTCTGTCTCAGAGTTAAATCAAAAGTAAACACAGATTGGATTCTGTAGCTAATTGCATGTTGAGACGTGCTGCTGTTTTCAAAAATACAAATGACAAAAGACAAATGTTTAATGTTAAGTTGTTAGTAGAAAGGTTGCTGTGTGTTCTGCTTTTCTCCTACAATCAAGATTACAATCAAGGTGTGAACAACTGAATGCCTGAAAATAATTCATTCATTCTTTTTGGCTTGTGAAGCAAACATAGGTGATAAGATTAATATCTGTGCTGAATTGCAACTGTAACATCGATTAATTGGAAATCTGGTATTCTTGCTGAAAGTCTTGTTGCGCAACACAAGATCATTGTGTTACAGCTGTACTCTTACATCTGTAAAAGCTGTGACGTAAGATCACAGGTGAGTATCACAGCGTAGGGGAGGGTGATACCACTGAATATGATTTCAATCAAATTTCCAGTCATACCAGGGTGAGAATTAGGCTGCCAATATTACATAAATACTGCAACCTTTCATTATTAAAAGTGTCAAAGGTACTATAATGTAGAAGCATGTGTCAAGACATCATTAATATCCTATTTGTGAATACATTTTGATTAATTAAATCAAATCACAGATGTTTATTGTATGAATTATCTCAACTAAATTAGATGCACAGGCAACAGCAACAGAGAATCATAAAGATACTATCAATACTGACATCTATGTGAAAACAAGGCATGGTATTGGTAGTATTGATCAATAAGTGGTGACACTTGTAGTGAATGAAATATGATTGGTTGACTTAATGTAATTACCCAAAATGAATTAATAAGACCATGAAATGTGGTTGAAAGCTCCAAAAACTGAAATAAAACGAAACTATTGCTAGATATAGCCCACATGGCTTAACTCTGCCAAGAAGGCTAAGACACATCCAACAATCAGAATACAACATATTTTACATATTTTTGAATAGAAATACTTGTTTATTTTTATTTTAAAGGGGGACATACATAAGCGTAGAATAGATTCATTCCACATTATGCCTTATGTAGTTTTATAATAGTTTGTGCCTGGATGGGCCTTTGAAAATGTAAGAAGGAAGCTCTATATATATATATATATATATATATATATATATACCAAGAAAATCAGACTTTCCCATCCTCCCATCTATAAATATTTTGAGTTTCAAGGAAGAAAAAAAGATTTCCAAACACAATTTTAGGAAATGAGTACAGATGGTCATCCATGTCGAGTGCCAATACAAATATTTTAGATCTGTGCGCAATGGGACATGAAGTGTATGTGTCATTGAGCAAGGCAAGACAACATATTTGTACAGCTGGGCCAGTGCCACATGGCATCGGACTACCAGAGGGCCGTGAATTAACCACTAGGACCCCCCCAACCCCTCAGCACCTACAATGTGAGGGCCTATGGCATGCTGTTTTAACATTTATTCAACCCACTGTCGGTACAGTAGCTACCTCTTTATCTTATAGCCTACCCCTTTCACACAGTCAACCACCAGGCCACCTAAATAACTAGTTAGCTAAGTTTTAGGCCAATAATTTGGTTGTAAGGGTCACTTGCTGTCTAGTGTTATATTGTATTATGTCACAGCATTGTAGCGGGACAACCAGTGGCTCATGGGATGAATATCATGTCATCCCATGAACCACTGTAATGTTCTGACATTAACATTAAATCTATGTAAACATTATTTTGTATTTGAGTTTTCCTTCACAACACATTTTCAGTTTCAGATTTGTCACTGATTTATTCTCCAGGTTTGAAATGGTGATTTGAAATCTGAGCATATGTTGGGGAAACAAAAGCTGAAACACTGAAACTGGTAGGCTACTTTAACATTCATAATGCTAACTGAGTTTTTGGTCGGCAAAAAAAAATAAAAAGTTGTGGGCATATATTGTTTATTCTCATTATTCTTCTTAGTAGCCTGCAGTCCAATCATGTTGTATTTACAATGACAATGATGCAGAGTGTAATAACCAGCCCTGGATATTAGACTAACCACGCACGAAACTGGATGATTTCACACATAATAACACACAAATAGGAACAGCTTTACACCTTTCAGCCATAACATTATGAGCACTGACAAGTGCAATGAGTAACACTTATTATCTGGTTATCATGGTAACTGTCAGTGGGTGGGATATATTAGGCAGCAAGTGAACATTTTGTCCTTAAGTTGATGTGTTACAAGCAGGAAAAATGGGCAGTGTGAGGATTTGAGCGACTCTGAGAAGGAGCCATATTGTGGTGGTTAGACGACTGAGTCAGAGCATCTCCAAACCTGCAGCTCTTATGGGATGTTCCTGGTCTGCAGAGGTCAGTACCTATCAAAAGTGGTCCAAGGAAGGAAAGCATTGAACCAGCGGCAGGGTCACTGATGTAGGTGGGGAGTGAAGGCTCTCCCGTGTGGTCCGATCCAACAGACGAGCTACTGTAGCTCAAACTGCTGAAACAGTTAATGCTGGTTCTGATAGAAAGGGGTCAGAACACACAGTCGCAGTTTGTTGCGTATAGGGGTTGCATAATACTAGGACCATCAGGGTGCCCAGGTGGTCATAATGTTATGGCTGATGGGTATATGTGCAAGAGAGAGATAGTATTTGAGAATGTAAACGCCCACAAAGGTAAACTTGTCTCAGCAGGACATGCAGGAATTCTTTAAAAGGCAGTTAAAGGTGACACATGGATTCTGAGGAAAAAGGGATCAGATTACCAAATCTTGAGAATCAGCGTGGGTAAACAGCTTTCCATAATTTCTGCCAATTGTTTCCATCTAAACTTGAGTGTATATAAAGGAGGTGCAGAGAACATGGGCTTCACAGTCTTGAGCTCTTTACACAGCAGAGAAGATTCTTCAAAAGCTGAGGAGAGGAAATCACTGCAAAACAATACAAGGCTTTACTTCAACTTGAGACTCATCCTCTTTGAAGATTAATCACTACATTTAGACAAGGATGAAGACTGTAATCCAGTGTCTCGTTCTCCTGGCCTGCGCTTCATTGTACACTTCACAAAGTAAGTGTGTTAATTTAATGGATTTTTAAAAAAAAAGCTTTTTGTTTTTTCTGTATTTCTGCATGTATGTGTCTTGACATGAGCTAACTTTGAGGGGACATTTCTCTCTCTGTTTCTTTTGTCTTCACTTTTCCAGTTATTGCGGACTGCCAGTGTGTTAAAACAATCAAGGGTGTAAACTTCTCTCTCATTGCTGATGTCAAGGAGTATGGCATACGTCCATATTGCAACAAGAAAGAAGTCGTGTAAGTATGATTATTAGTAGATCAATGTTGATTTTCCAATAGTTGGTATTGTTTAATTTGTCGTTTAATTGTTTTACATTAAAACTTTCTCTTTCTCCTACAGTGTCATCCTGAAAGATCAGAGCTCACGGTGTCTTGACCCCAAACAAAAATCCACCAAAGTGCTCCTGAGAAGAATGCAAGCGTAAGTCCAAGACAAGCCTCTTTACATTGTGCGCTTTCATTTGCTGCTGTTTAACACAGCATGAACTAATATTTATGTAATTAGATGAGAGAAAGCCCGGAAGAGCAATTCCAAGTTTCTCTGTAAGCAGTGGAGGTCAGCAGTCACGCTGTTGCTCTGCACATCATCACTGCGTCCATAAAAGGAAAAGGATGTAACGTGTAGTTTATGTTGTCCTGCAACTACTTGAGTAAAGGCAGCTGATACAGAAGTAGAAAAATCCAAACTTTAATGAATTTTCTCTTGCACACTGGGGTTATAATAAGAAATAATGTTTGTTTTAAGGGATAGATAGATAGTTTCCTCTAATATATATGTTTCTGGTGTGCTACCAGGTCATTTTACTTTTTTAGGACTTTAGGTATCAAATAAAGAAAAAGAGGTTGCATTTGATGATGGAGGGTCACAAGTAGACATTGCTTCTTTTTAAGAGGTCAAGGCCAAAAAGGTTGTGAGTCAGAGCTTAAGTGCATTACTAGCATTGCATTATGAATATACAAAATAAATTGTGCTTCTCTGATCCTGATTTGAAAGATTTTACACCACTGGTTTAAAGGAGTGAAATTTCAAATAGTTGATTATATGTTTTCTTTGCAGGAGGAAGGCAACTACTGCTAAGATGAACACCACCAGACCACAGACAATGTCAACCACAATGGCCACATTATTTTCTGGACTTAAATAAAAGCCAGTAGAGAAATCCCATCGGCCTTCATCGAAGGAACCAGGGTGGTGCTATCCCTACAAGACTTTGTTGTACGCTACTATCTAGTAGCTTTGTTTTAAGCATCATGCCTATGACATGCTGTTTTATTATATATTCAACCTGCTGTCAGTACAGTAGCTACCTCTTTATATTATAATCCACCCCTTTCACACAACAACTACAGCCTATAACTAGTTAGCTTAGTTTTAGGCTGATAGTTTGGTTGTAATGGCAGCTTCCTGTATAGTGCTAGAGGGCTACATTGTATTGTCACAGCACTGTAGCGGGTCAACCAGTGGCTCATGGGATGGATATCATGTCATATTCTCAAGTGGAGAAGAAAAAGTTTTGTAAGAGTGAAACTAAGTTTAGAATGTTTGCTAAATGTTCTGATGTGATGAAAAAAAACATTAAATCTATGCCAACATGATTTTGTATTTGAGTTTTCCTTCACAACACATTTTTACAGGATTGAAATCTTGCAAATGGTGATTTGAAAACTGAGCTTATGTATAAAATGTTGAAACACTGAAACCTTATTTTTGAAAGGGCAAATTCATATTTGGAGACTTTTATGGCTATAGGCTGCATTTACACTCATAATGTAGACGTTCTTTCAGAGCAGAGTTTAAGGTCTGTGAAATTTAAAAAAAGGAAAAGGATGGGATCCTGGAGTCATGGCCATTAGCTCTATAGTGTTTATTCTCTGCTAAAGTAGCCTGCAGTGCAATCATGTCGTATTTACTTTTAAAAACGTGTCCCCATGGCAGCACTGTAGTCTCTTTGGTCTTGTCTGTCTGGAGGGAGATTCTCTCTCCAGTATTTGGTGCAGCCTTTACCTGAATGAACTGTCTGTATTCTGTCTTATTTCCATCCTCTCTATATCATGGCTGTGTCGGATCTCTACCGCTGTCTCTCACTGACACAGAGCTTGAGTAAAAGCAGGCGGATAGATGTAAATGTAAATCAGTCTTTATGGTCATTTCACAGTACACACAGTGTTTACAGCATTTTACATACATGAAACTAAATTTGTCCTCTGCATTTGACCCATCCGATATACCTTACTACATACAGTGGGTACGGAAAGTATTCAGACCCCTTTAAATTTTTCACTCTGTTTCATTGCAGCCATTTGCTAAAATCAAAAAAGTTCATTTTATTTCTCATTAATGTACACTCAGCACCCCATCTTGACAGAAAAAAAACAGAAATGTAGACATTTTTGCAAATTTATTAAAAAAGAAAACTGAAATATCACATGGTCATAAGTATTCAGACCCTTTGCTCAGTATTGAGTAGAAGCACCCTTTTGAGCTACTACAGCCATGAGTCTTCTTGGGAATGATGCAACAAGTTTTTCACACCTGGATTTGGGGATCTTCTGCCATTCTTCCTGGCAGATCCTCTCCAGTTCTGTCAGGTTGGATGGTGAACGTTGGTGGACAGCCATTTTCAGATCTCTCCAGAGATGCTCAATTGGGTTTAGGTCAGGGCTCTGGCTGGGCCAGTCAAGAATGGTCACAGTTGTTCCAAAGCCACTCCTTTGTTATTTTAGCTGTGTGCTTAGGGTTATTGTCTTGTTGGAAGGTGAACCTTCAGCCCAGTCTGAGGTCCTGAGCACTCTGGAAGAGGTTTTCTTCCAGGATATCTCTGTACTTGGCCGCATTCATCTTTCCTTCAATTGCAACCAGTTGTCCTGTCCCTGCAGCTGAAAAACACCCCCATAGCATGATGCTGCCACCACCATGTTTCACTGTTGGGATTGTATTGGGCAGGTGATGAGCAGTGCCTGGTTTTCTCCACACATACCGCTTAGAATTAACGCCAAAAAGTTCAATCTTGGTCTCATCAGACCAGAGAATCTTCTTTCTCATAGTCTGGGAGTCCTTCATGTGTTTTTTGGCAAACTCTATGCAGGCTTTCATATGTCTTGCACTGAGGAGAGGCTTCCGTCGGGCCACTCTGCCATAAAGCCCCGACTGGTGCAGGGCTGTAGTGATAGTTGACTTTGTGGAACTTTCTCCCATCTCCCTACTGCATCTCTAGAGCTCAGCCACAGTGATCTTTGGGTTCTTCTTTACCTCTCTCACCAAGGCTCTTCTCCCACGATTGCTCAGTTTGGCTGGACGGCCAGGTCTGGGAAGAGTTCTGGTCGTCCCAAACTTCTTCCATTTAAGGATTATGGAGGCCACTGTGCTCTTAGGAACCTTGAGTGCTGCAGAAATTCTTTTGTAACCTTGGCCAGATCTGTGCCTTGCCACAATTCTGTCTCTGAGCTCCTTGGGCAGTTCCTTCGACCTCATGATTCTCATTTGCTCTGACATGCACTGTGAGCTGTAAGGTCTTATATAGACAGGTGTGTGCCTTTCCTAATCAAGTCCAATCAGTTTAATTAAACACAGCTGGACTCCAATGAAGGAGCAGAACCATCTCAAGGAGGATCAGAAGAAATGGACAGCATGTGAGTTAAATATGAGTGTCACAGCAAAGGGTCTGAATACTTATGACCATGTGATATTTCAGTTTTTCTTTTTTAATAAATTTGCAAGAATTTCTACATTTCTGTTTTTTTTCCTGTCAAGATGGGGTGCTGAGTGTACATTAATGAGAAATAAAATGAACTTTTTTGATTTTAGCAAATGGCTGCAATGAAACAAAGAGTGAAAATTTTAAAGGGGTCTGAATACTTTCCGTACCCACTGTACATTAGGAGGAGTGAGCAGCCGTAAGTGCCTGCGGAGCAATTAAGGGTTAGGTGCCTTGCTCAAGGGCACCTCGGCAGTGTACAGGAAGTGGAACTGGAACCTCTCCAGCTGCCAGATATGCTCACACATATATACATTTTTTCTCATTTATAATTTCAGTATTTAAAATGTGTACATTTTACTGAAGAGGTAAAAAAACAAGAGCCTTAACCCTGTAATGTCTGAACCATGAAATAATTGCCAGAAAAACTGTAGTGTTTATTGCACCTTCTGACAAATTAAAAAAACAATTTAATAACAATTTGCATATATGAGTTTTAATTTTTATAATTTTTGCTACATCCGATATTTCTATGCAATCTATTGCTCAAAGTTTGTTTATCTTAAACAAACAAAAACATAAAAAAAAAAAACTTTTAACTCATTAAACTTTGAGTTTCATTTAAACTTTTCCTCAGTGGAACCGGCCTGGTGGAAGACAAACTTTTCTTCGTTTGGTTAATTGTTTGGTTCACAACCTCTTTATTTTGCATTGTGGTTGACCTGAAAACAGTTTCTGTCCCTGTTAAGGTAAAGATGAACCTTACATTACATGTTTCTCATACCTTAACTTTTTCAAAATTGGCAAAAATATCCTTGAAAAACCACTTGTGGGTCACTGATTAACAGCAGCAATTTTGGATGTCTCAATTGAAGGCCCTCTGGTGCATGAATTACTGACCCCTGGTGAATTATCCGTGCACTGTATGTGTCTGATTGTATACATCAGGTTTTTCAGGGGGCAAAAAATCCCACTGATGATGTAGAGTCTCAAAAACTCAAATATCAAATATGATACACTTGGCGTTACAGGGTTAACTTTTCTTAAATGCACATATCATAAAGTCTCATATGTCTCATAAAGTCAGGGTACATTCAGTTTATTTTCTTAAGTCTCTAGTTTATAAAGTATCTAAAATGTGTATTGTTTTACTGATGATGAATTGTGATTTATCGAGTTAATAGATCTCTTCAAAAAGGCTGCTTCAAGAAAATGTGACGTGGTGCAGAAATAGCAGTAAAGATGGTCAGGAATGTTCATATATGCATTCATTTTCTCACTGTGAACACTGCTTTGCTGCAAAATAAATGCACAAGAGACTGGGTGATTTTACACATATACAAGAAGGAAAACAACTCTGCAGTAATAAGGATTTATGTGTAAAAGAGAGGTAGTATTTGAGAGTGTGCAGAGCGAGTTCAAGTGAGATTAAATCTGCAGCATCAACAAACAAGAAACTACCCACAAAGGCAATTTCAGCATTAGGTCAATGGCTTGACATACAGGAAGTCTTTGAAAGGAAGGTGACAAGTTGATTCCGAGGAAAAGGGGGAATGTATTACAAAATCTTGAGAACTAGTGTGGAGAAAGAGCTTCTTTTTTTTTTCTCTGGAAAAATGTGTCCACCTAGTGTATAAATAGGAGGTGCAGAGAACATGAGCTTCACAGTCTTAAGCACTTTACACAGCAGAGGAGATTCTTGAAATCCTCTTTGAAGATTACTCACTAGATTAAAAGAAGGATGAAGACTGTAATCCAGTGTATAATTTTCCTGGCCTGTGCGGCATTGTACACTTCACAAAGTAAGTGTGTTAATTTACTGGATTGTTAAAAAGCTTTTTGTCTGTATTTCTGCATGTATGTGGCTTCAAATTAGCTAACTTTAAGGAAAAAATGTGTTTCTCTGTTTCTTTTGTTGAGCCTGACATATCAGTTTTGAAAGGTGAAACTGTAGCTATTCCATAGTTTATTAACAACACTGTCATCATTTTTCCAGCAAATCCATACTGCCAGTGTGTAAAAACAATCAAGGGTGTAAACTTCTCTCTCATTGCTGATGTCAAGGAGTATGGAATACGTCCATATTGCGACAGGAGAGAAGTCATGTAAGTACGATTATTAGTAAATGTTGATTTTCCAATAATTCATATTGTTTAATTCGTAGTTTAAAAAAATGTTTTACCTTAAAATGTCATCTTTCTCCTACAGTGTCATCCTGAAGGATGAGAAATTACGGTGTCTTGACCCCAAACAAAGATTCACCCAAGCACTTCTGCAAAGAATGCGAATGTAAGTCCAAAGAAAAGCTTCTTTACATGGTGTGCTTTCATTTGCTGTTTAACACAGCATGAACTAATATTTATGTAATTAGATGAGAGAAAGCTTGCCAAATAAAGGATGTGGAAGATTGAGCAAAACATTTTTCTGTAAGCAGTGGAGGTCAGCAGTCCCGCTGTTGCTCTGCACATCATCACTGCCAGCAAGAAGGCTGTAATTAATGTATTCCTGCAACTACTTGAGTAGAGGCAGCGTATACAGAACTAAAAGAGCAGTTTAAAGGAGCAGCACATTGCTTGATCCAAACTGTAAGGCATGTCTCTTGCACACTGGGGTTTGTTGGTTAAGAGCAACTAGGGGCCAGGATACTCATCAACATCAGGGATAAATTTAACAGAAACAGATTTAAGGTAATCTTTCTTCCAATCCAGATTTGAAAGATTTTACACCACTGGTTTAGATGAGTAAAATTTCAAATGAAAAGATTGATTATGATATGTTTTCTTTGCAGGAAGAAGGCAAATGCTGCTAAGATGAACAGCCCAACGACAACCACAGCGCCATCCAGAGTGTCACCCTCAACGTCAGCCACAGTGGTACCATCATCAACATAATGCAAACTGCTTAAGTTTATCATCCTCACAATTAAAATGAGGTATCAGTTTGTAAGAGGAAAGATCAGCACACCTTGTGGGGTCATGCTTGTTGTGGTCCCTGTTTGTTTAATCACAAGAAACAGGCAGTACAATACTGGTACAAGTGAATTTGTTTCACTTCACTTGTTTTGAGTTGTGCAATTAGGCAGCCAAAAATAACAGCAAGATGTAAAAGTGTGAAATGTTAACTTCAACTGCCATGACTGAGTGGCACATTTAGGAGAAAGTTTGTGAAGTTTCCTTTACCCAGAATATTCATCTGGGTAAACATAGTGCTCTTTTTCTTTTTAGATTTTAGTTTGTATGGATGGGAATGTCTTGCATTTTACGTATGCTGACGACACTGATGTATTTTTACCCTAAATGTCCTAAGACTGAATCCATGGTGAATGAAGAGCGTATTTTTACTGTAATTGTATTGTATCTGTATCGACATTGCTGTGCTACACATTACATTGTTATTACACATTGTAGCTGGTATTAAACTGTCATCTTTAAAACTTTCTGTAAAAGCATTCTGTGATGTAATTCAGGCGAGCCGATAATTTGAAGGTCAGTAATGTAATGTAATCTATTAACATTTAAGAAATGATGGTAAATGTGAACTGTTTTCTATTGTTGATGTTAAAACATAGCTTGTTTGTCTAATTCAAAGGATGTCTTGATTTTTTTCTATTGCAAACAAATATTTATGTACATACATATATATATATATTATATATATCATTCTGTATGTGTACCATGTTGTAAGGCTGATTGTGTGATCCTGATGAAGAGCTGAAATAAATCTTGGCATTTGATTATAACTAAACTTTTTCAAGGTGTAATTATGTGCATTTTGTAACATGGTAAATTGACTTCTACTTGTATAGCACTTTTCTAGTCTTCCAAACACTCAAATTGCTTTTACACTACGTGCCACATTCACCCTTTCACATAGTGATGGCAAAGCCTGTCGAACAGAAACTCATTTATGCACATTCACAGTAATTTGCCTTTATAGGGCACTCATTGAAATACTTTGATTTATTGGTGGATATAATAAGACAATTTTTCTTTTTTTACTTTATTTATTAGTATATCACCTATAAAAAAAACCCACCAAAATATGCCATAGAAGTGTAATAAAAACATAAAAGGAAGTTACCATATATGGTTCCTCGCCCGATTAAGGGTTAAAGACACTTTGACCCCGGGGGCCGAACGAAGAACCTTCCGATTGGTGGGATGTCCCGCGTTACAGCTGAGCCACAGCCACCCCTCATATATGCCTAATATTCCACCCTAACCCATTAACACAGGCACAGGTGAATATGGTCCAATAATCAGAAAACCACATTTCAACTGAAGGACGCCGGCAGAAACTGAACAAGAATAAGAGCCATGCTAACAGCTGTGAGGCTGCATTAGGAGAAGAAGGAGATATACTTTATTAATCCCCAAGGGGAAATTCTTTTTTCACTGTTACTTTACAAACAGGCCCAAAATACAATCATGTGCATGCAGGGCTTATAGACATGCAAACGTGGAGAGATGGTGCAGTGATGGGTGGCCACATGGGCGCTCCATGAGCAGGTAGGTGGTTGGGTGCCTCGCTCAAGGGCACCTCAGCTGTGCACAGGAAGTGGAACTGGCACCTCTCCACCTGCCAGTCCATACTGTGGTTTTGTGCTGGACTTGAACTGGCAACCCTCCAGTTCCCAAGCCAAGTCCCTACAGACTAAGCTACTGCCACCCAAAGCTTAGCTTAATGCTAATGCCATGTTCAAGGCTCTCTCTCAATGTCTTTATGTATTAGCAGGGTAGCATTTGAGATTTGCACTAAACACCAAGTACAGCTGAGGCTGACTGGAGTGTCATTAGTTTGGTAGGTGTTTGGTAAATACAGAAATACTGGAGAACCACTTGAATCAGACAGTCAAGGGAAAGGGTCTGCTCAAGGTTTCTGCCTCTTAAAAGGAAGTTTTTCCTTGCTGTCACCCAATTCTTGCTCATGGTGGTAATTGTTTGGTCTCTAAATAATTTTATAAGGAATACAGTCTAGACCGGCTGTATATAAAAGTGATGAAAGTGTCCTCTGTTGTGATTTGTCGCTATATTTTGACGATGATGGCATTTGAATAAATTAAATGTGTCTGCTCTTAAACAGGTTTCTACACATCATCCCTCCATACTTTGGCCTTTAATAAACATCAATAACAAAGTCAATACTAGTACTAGTATCCAAATACAACCAAGTACATTAGAAAAGAAATACTAGAAACATGATTTCATGTCTTCTAATCTTTTTCTTTTTGGCTTACAACAGCATTTTAAGGATTTAAGTTTTCTACCACTGAACAAAGCAAAAAAAAATGAAAAAGAACCTTTCATAACCAGAAATCACATTGTCATATATAACTTTTCTCATTCTGTGCTGTGGCATATAAAATCCCTGTAAAAGTCCCCTCACGTTTTGTTTTTCAAAAGATAAAGAATTTGCAAAGTCATACTGTAATACATGATTTCATTTCTTACAGTCATGTGGCCTTGAGGCCTTGCGTGATGACCCACTTTTATACCACATTATGTTCCAAACGTCTGATAAAGACACATGCCTTAAATCATGAGGGAGTAATATTTCTCAAGTCAAGTCTGGAAGTGCTAGGTCATCAGAAAGATTATTTCAGTTTATATTGTCAGTAATTAGATTATATGTCAGTAATGGTATTTGGTTAACAGATGGAGTTACATCTGGGGTAAAATAAGCATTTTAGAGACAGAAGTAATCAAAATGAATTAACCTCCAAACAAACATAAAACAACATAGATGGTTTTTAATGTTGTCCAAGTGCTTTTTTGTTTCTTCTTGAAATCTCATCAGTTCACATATCATCAATGCATATCAATTAGTTACCAGTTATGGCAGCACAGCTTGTACAATGGTATTCATGTAGTTAAAGAGCGTTCTCCTTGTTTTTACCACCTTCATCTTGACTCAATTAAACATTAGCTGTCGCACTCGAGATTATGGGTTTTACTGTAAATTAAAACAAAAAAAAGGAAAAACTAGGTGTTAAATATTGTGAATGTTAAAACAATATGATAGTTTGAACATTCAAATAAACATAAACACAATTAAAATAGAAATGACACGACACAAGAAAAAAAAGAAACTAAATAAAGACTGATCATTCATTTTCATTCTTATTCAATAATTCTAGGTAAAAATATTGAGTAATGCTGCTTTAATATTCCCCTTCATTCCCAAATAAATAAATAGTTGCCTAGAATAACAGCCAAACTAAAATACATCCACACCACAAACTAACACTAAACGGAAATAAAAAAACAATGAAAACTGATGAGCTATTTCACATAATAAGTGTATTGTACTGTATATACAGTACAGGATCAGAAGAAGCCCCCAGGAAAAACAACACTATCTCACAGTGTCATATGCACAGTAGCCACAGGTCAAACTGTGTTGTTTACAGAACTGTAGCTGATGATGATCTTATCTTTTTCCTCTTTCAGAATCAAATGGGGGCCAACAGAGTTGAATACTGCTGCAGAGCTATGATAAGCAGAAGAAAAATTAAGCTGTGGGCAGATCGTCCAGACAGACACACTTTGTCTGTATGACTCACATCTTTGGCAGTCGACTACGAGCATGCCGTCTCTTAACCTCAAAGGGGCCTCTCGTCTGTCCCAGTCCCCTGTCCCATGACTACCTTCTGCTGCACATGTGAATGCACCAAAGTGAAACCAACATACAGGTTTTTTCTGAAATTTCCCAAACCTAAGTTTATGAAGAGCACATGATCACTTTATGTATAAATACTGGAATGCAGAATGCATCTAAACAGTCAGCAGTAGCTGTATGATATCCCTCTGAGCTGAAGAACTTAACAAGCAACTGCACAAACAAGATGAAGCTCTGCATCCTGCTCGTGTTTGGGACCCTGTTTGTCGTCATTAATGGTAAGAGCATAGTAACTTAGAGGGATACTTGTTTGACTAACATTCCTGCGAAGGGTTTACTCTCATCTCTGCAGTTTAGTGTCTGTTGTTGTAGGCAAATTCAGCTGTTATATAAATATAATTGTTAACTAGGACATTTTCTAGTGAAACCAGTGGGTGACATTCATTTTTCCTAAAAAAAATTCAAAATGTATTGCAATGTTTTCAACTGAAATATTGACTCATACCGTTCTTTACGTAGGTTGTAGCCTGTTAACTACAAAAAAACATGATATGATTGCCGTCTGTTTCTATTCCTTTCTCTCGATATGAAAAACGTGGAGAGACTTTCTTCTTTTACGTCACATTTGTTTTTATTGTTGTGTTGTATTGTAAGTGCTGATCTAAAGAGTCTATCCTGCATTATTACCACATTACTACTTCCACCTCTGGTTACCAAATGAAAGTAAGCAGAGGTGGATGTATTCGGATCCTTTTATAAAGGATCTGTAGTTTTTATGTGTAAAATCTTAATCTCCTATCTAACTATGACTATAAGATAAATGTAATGAAAAGTACAATATTTCCCTCTGAGACATAGATGTATATAAATGCCTATACAATAGAAATACTAAAGCACAGTCAAATACCTCAAAATTTTACTTAAGTTAAGTATACTGAAAAGAAAATTGTTCCACTGAGATCCCCCAAAAAATTTAGAAATCAGTTTGCACAGTAGTAAATGTAGTAATAGTAAATGAGCAAAAGCACAAACATAGATATACTGTGTAGTTGCTTGTAGGAGTAAAGACAATGTGTACAAATTGATACTTCTGGCTTGGTCCAGCACTTGAACTTTGATTTATTTAACTGGGCTATTCTCCCAAGAGTCCTCGTACATAAATACATCTCTTTAATAGATACAAACAGAAACAATAATATGTATGCACAAGTAGACATTTAAAACCTGCAATAATCCTCATTAAATGTCTATTATCTCACATACACTAACTTAAGATAGTTTTACTATTCACAGCCATTTCCCTTGAGGTTCCAGGCAAGCCTGATAGGAGAATGGCCTTTTACTGAGCTCTAAGTTTGGCTTTGGCAAAACATAATTTGTGACTGTGTTGAAAAGTTTTTTAGACTGTATTTCTAATGTGAAAAACACATGGTGAATTGTGACATCTCATAAATGTGTGAGAGCAAAAAAGAATCAGACTTGCAGTCTGCTGTGGTTTAACCAAAGGCAGTTGTTTAAAGGAATCTAAATGCGCATAATTCAGTCTATGATTTCCCTGTAATTCAGCCACACCTACTTGGACTTTGGTTTGTTTGGCCATGAAACAGGAATGAATATTGAACCCACAGATGTGACATATGTATAAAAAAGTGATTGTAGGATGAAATTAATGGATGAAATGTGTAAAAAAGGCTACATTTAATTGTAAATTTGATGGTGTCTTTATGGAGATGTTTTAGAAGAAACTGTCAATTACGCCACATAGCTAACTAATGTAATCTATCTAATATGTATTTAAGTTGTTCAGTTATGCCATAGTGTGCACACTGACACACTTTACTCCTTGGAGCTACAATCACTGTATATTACCAAAACTCAGCCAAACTTGACTACACACATGACCTTAAATTTAAGGGAACAGGAAGATGACTGGAAGAGAAAAGGGAGAAGTACCCATTATAAGAATGTCGAAATACCAATGCTTGTAGAAGGTCACTTAGAAAGTGATCTTGACACGCATGCTAGCACTATCACAATAAGGCAATGTCCAGTTCCCGGTAAAATAAAATAGGGAAGGTGAGGTTGCACAGCCTTATAATTAATCAGAGGGTTTCACAAGAATAATG